TATTATTTAAAAAAAGTAAACTTTCCTCAAACTGGTTTTAAATAATATAGGTTAATAAAGTCAACCTACCATCAAGGTGGACATCACTTCCACAAGAGAGTATTTTTGATCATTACCACAACAGAATTGTTTCACACCCATTTGTAAATGTTGTGGAAACTGAATAAAATTACAAATGATTAAATAGAAAAAGTGTGACTAATGTAATGGTTAAATAGATTGTGAATGAAATTACTTTGAACAAGTTCAAAAGTGCATTTGTTCCAATTCTTAATAAACTAATTTAAAGCTGTACACAATATTGGCATAGTTTGTCATTATTTATTTTTTTGTCCTGACATCTGATAAGAGTTTTCATATTAAAATATTAAAAACAAAACCTTCTCACCTCGCCAGCAGATGGCATCAGACCACCCAGAGTCAAATCATGCTTGTTTACAGCGTTTCAGGATATCATTCAAAGCTTTACACAGAGACTTCTTCACTCTTCTTCATGTACGCTATGATTTCTCACCAGTCAAAACTTTTACAGACAGACAGAAGTCCTCAACCAATCGCGGGCTCCACTGAGGATCATGTGACATGAGCAGGAAGCGTGAGCGAGCGGCTATTATAGGTTCTTTGAATCGTTATACACACGCGGTGTTTCTGACTGACCGAGAGGAAAATGGCACCTACAGGTAAGAAATACGTGCTACGCTAAACTTCAAAAGCATGCATTGTACCACCAGAATATAAGAACCTTAACATAACTGGCTGCCTTTTAAACGAAGCCAAAGTAGTGCCGCTGTTGTGTTGTGGCTCGTTAGCGCAGTGAGCTAGTAATCGGTGGGTCAGCTGATGCCGCTAAAAGCTCCGGTTCCGACCACGAAAACACACCAGACTGCGGCTTTTGTCCCACACTGACAGGGCCTAAGTTTACAGTGTAATAGATTTGTTAATCATTATGATTTCTCTGTTTGCAAAAACATTTCTTATGTGTTTTGACGCGGCGTCTCTCTATATAATGGTCTAGGTTGGTTTAGGGCCAACCTAATTAAATGCGATATGTTTACGTGGAGCATGGTTAGCTGATTAACCTTTAAGCTCTAGGATTAATTAGTAAACTCATCACACGCCCTCAACAATATCACTCATAATGACCGAATCGAGCAAATATCCATGTTCAGTTGGCGCTAAAGAGATAGCAATATATCTTATTTAACCTAACTTGTATAAGTCATGTGCATTTAATATGCATGTGTGTGTATATATAGAGAGAAAATATCTTATTGCAATTACAAAATTATTATATTTTATTAAAATATTTTACGTTGAAATTCTTGTTTAAAACAAATGAAATAATTGATTTTAAGTTAATAATAAAAAAAAGCCGTCGACTTTCACTCAGGAGTCGACACGCTTTTATATATCGTCGTTCATTCTGAATACACTGTGTAACCAGGTGGTAGAACAATCATAAGCCTATAAGCATGATTGGTTGATGGATATGTTGTTTTAGGAATAATAAATGATATGCATAGAAACAGGTTCTATATGTAAATCACATTTAAGTTCATACTGTTACATTATTCAGTGTAAGCAATGTTGTTTTTGAATGTTCAGGTGAAGTAGTGTTTGGCTCTGGGGACCGGGTCTGTGATGACAACCGCTTGCTCTGGGATCTCACTCCCGACCGGATCCAGCAGCTTACTGAAGAGCTTATTGCCAAGACCAAAAAGGTGTATGACATGGTCTGTGCGCTGGACGTGTCCAGTGTCAGCTATGAGAACACCCTGAAGGCCCTCGCTGATGTGGAAGTGGAGTACACAGGTAGAAATCAACACTATAGATTAGGCCTGGGCGATAAAACGGTATCGATATTTATCGACGGTACACCTTCTTCGATAACGATATATAATTTTTTCGATATAGCTAGGGTGACCATACGTGCCATTTTCCCAGGACGCGTCCTGTACAGGATTTCTATATTGCCTAAAATATCTAGGTTTTGGGGAGCGTCATTAGTGGCGCGCGAGATGCGGTGATGATGATGTAAGTGACGTTGTTGCATTTGAATGTTTTGTTAGTCTAGCCCACGAGACGCGCAGTTCCTACGTTATTCATTCAAAATAGTAGAGAAATATAGTAGCTCAATGCGGAGAAGATCTTGATTTAGGTCAAAACCAAGCCATTCACACAGAACGCATATTCAGCGCATTTTTAAGACGGACAAATACGACTGCTGCGCGCTTCGGCTCTTTGTATTAAGCAATGCATAAATACATGATGCTGTTTTGTTCATAATTGTTTATGCAATTTACGAAATTATATTTGTTAATTTAGACGTAATTATATTTGTTAATTTAGATGTAATTATATTTGTTAATTTAGATGTAACGCACGTTTTTTTTAATAGAGTTCCTTCCTTGTGTTGACCATTTTTAATGCGCTACATTATTTTGCTCATTGCGCCCTCCTGTGTCCTCGGGAGACGAGCCAAAAGTTTCCTTTAGACCTAATTAATCTGCATATAAAACATTAGAAATTAGATGTTTAATTTGTATTTTGTGTTTGATTGTTAAAACAAAAAATATTTGTTGTTTGTCTCAATAAATTGGGTTAGTTTAAAAATACAGTGGTTAAATTAAAAAAAAAATTCTATTGCTCTTTGTTTTAAAAAAGGTTATAAAAAATGTCAATATTATCGATACCGAACGATATGAAACATTATACATTATACATTTTTTAGCTATATCGCCCAGCCCTACCTACACATGTGCTTATGACATCACAAGAAACTTTATCTGTTAAAACACAGACATGATGTCATTGTAGATTTCTTATCATAAATTCTGATGTCAG